TATGAAATCATAGATTTCTTTATCCATTTAATCTCAGTATGGCAACCAATACTGATAATAATAGGTAAAGAAATCTGAGAAATCTGCAATTTCATATTTTTTCCAGCTTGGACACAATATAGACCAGGGGCAGACACATTAGCATGAATATTTAAATCGTGGAGAAGAAATTTTTATTCTGCGAAATTACTACGAAGAAATTAGACAGGAACGAAAACATCAAAAACGCTAGTTTTATCGATAATATAAAAGATTTCACTTTTAACAACTTAAAATAAATTAATGGAAGGCTCAACAAATATAAAACAAATTGATTAAAAATAAGAGAAAAGAGCCGATAATTTTTTTAAAAAAGATATATAAATGTAATTAACTCAATATCGCAATACATTAAACAAACAGAGTAAAATTCGCAAGTAAGAATTCGCACATACGTTTCGACACCGATCGGGTCATTTTCAATGTTAAATTTAAAATTAAGTGTGTATAATAGAATTAACGAATCAACGATAATAAAATTACATGTGTATAATTATAATAAAATTATTGAGTCACAAATATAAAATTAAATGTGTATAATTGAATAATTAACGAGTCGTAAATATAAAATTAAATGTGTATAATTGAATATGGATCTTCCTTTGTGATTAGTTTCGCATGAGTGACTCGTTAATTTTATTATAATTATACACATGTAATTTTATTATTGTTGATTCGTTAATTCTATTATACACACTTAATTTTAAATTTAACATTAAAAATGACCCGATCGGTGTCGAAACGTATGTGCGAATTCTTACTTGCGAATTTTACTCTGTTTGTTTAATGTATTGCGATTTTGAGTTAATTACATTTATATATCTTTTTTAAAAAAATTATTGGCTCTTTTCTCTTATTTTTAATCAATTTGTAATATCAGCTTATTTTATTACAGAATATCAATTATTACTTATTAGATACATCGAACTGAAAAAGTTGTTAAATAAATTATGTCAAATAGTAAATTAATTTTTCGTATTTCTGATATGCTGGAAAAAATGATAATAACAACGTACAGTTTTCCTACAAATAAATAAAATCAATATATAATCGCGCAATGTTCCGCCTCTGAGCGCGCAATTTTTAGACGCTATATAATTAGCCAATTTTAATCGTTTATAATTTGAAAACTATTATAGTTTGTATATTTCTGTATAGAAAGTTTTTGTCTTAAAATATTCTGTAGAATACGCCAGCGGAAAAACTTCCGAGCATTTTAGGACACCCCGTATATTATATGACTTTGTCATTGATGGATTTCCCGACTCAACAGTACTATCTCTTTCGAAGAAACATTAAAAATTTCTATCGCTTCAGTCGCAGCAGATTGCAAGAGTTATTTTTGCAAAACATTATTTTTATTTTATAAAATAATATATGTTCTCATTAGCCTTGTTAAATACATTTACAAAATTAATATTTGAAACAAGACCGCTTACATAAATAAATCAACTAAATACGAAAGTATCAATTATTATGCTAAAGTTAAATACATATTATATTTAGAGAAATCAATCTCAGAACTTTATACGCCGATTATGATTAAACTTGCAACAAGCTGAGATATTAATAATCTTCCTGACATTAAATTAAATTTTGTAAAGAACTTATTATAAAAAATATTTTTATCTGTGAGAATGCTAGTTTCTGAAGACGTTGACACGGGTTTACGTGAAATCCAAATTCGACCTTTAACCGATATTTTTCGCAATAAGTTCTTTATAGACTTTAATTTTATTTCAAGAAATTATTAGCATCTCGGATTAATTAAGTTACAAGTCCGAAAATAATTGGCATGCGATTATAGTTCTGAGATAATTATATTTAAAATATATATTAAGATATATTATTAACATATTAGAGAGTTAATATTTAATTAAAAATATTTAGTTAGTTAGAGTTACGGCCAAAGCAGCATTAAACTATATATATAATTAAAAATTGTTAATAATATTATTGACAATTATTCATTATTATTCATATTATTATTTTCAACATTTATTGCTTTATTAAGAAACTTTACTGCGCGGGGTTTAATTAGTCAAAATGCGAAGCCGCGTGAGATGCCTAAAACCGGTCTTGTTTATTGTTATATAATTCAGAAACGTTTATCTTATATGCAACGTTGTTATATAATTAAGATTCTTCTCTTTTTGTCCTCTTTTTGTAAAAATTATACACTGTAGATATTCGTTCATGAAAAGATATGTCTCTACCACGTTTATTGATAATAAAATTACATTGGAATCTTATAGTAGCGAATCTGCGAAACACAGTTCACAAATCCTGTCCACGTGAGCTAAAAGCGCACGAGTAGCATAAGTAGGAAGGAATAGCAATTAAAGTGTCTATTTTTTATGTCATTTGAAGTTCTATTGAAACGTATCAATCATGCGATCTATAGTATAAAACTGAAGTTTAAGTTACGAGTATTAAAGAGTAGTTTATAAACTTCTTCGATATTAGTTATCTTTCGACCAAATTTTTCATGTAGAATCAAACAAAAAATATTATATACATACATACACATATATACGGGGGCTATTACGCGTGAAGCGGATCAATCATCTCTCAGAAATTTTTTAAATTTGCACATAGTGCTCTGGGAGATAGATTTTGTGCCAAAAGATTTTTTTTATTGCAAAATTGATCGAGATGTAAACAATTAAAAAATTAAGTTACTTTATTCTGCAAAGATTCATATCTCTGTTACTAATATAATGCTAGCTGACTTCGTTTTTTCTTAATTCACGCTAAAAATGTTCTAGTTTACAGGAAATATATTAATATTCAGAGAAGATTTCGTTTTCCATTGCCTATTTAATAAACTTTCTAACAAATTTTTTAACAATTAATCGAGAAGAAAGTCGGAAAATCTGAAAAAATATATTTTACATACGCTGGATTCACACTGCATCCGAATTTCGTCGTACGACGACTCTGCGACCAATCAGGAAACAAAATTTTGCTCCGCATCGATGATACGATTTTTCTGATTGGTTGCAGAGTCGTCGTACGACGGAAATCGGATGCAGTGTGAACCAGCAACACTCTCAGTTTTCCTAGAACATTTTTAGCGTGAATTAAAAAAAACGAAGTCAGCTATTATTATTAGTAACAAAGATATGAATCTTTGCAGAATAAAGTAGTTTAATTTTTAATTGTTTACATCTCAATCAATTTTGCAATAAAAAAATCCTCTCTTTAGTATAAAATTCTCTCTCCAAGCACTATGTGCAAAATTAAAAAAATTTTTGAGAGATAATTAATCCACTTTACACGCGGAATAGCGCCCATATATAATCATTATTATTTATTTAAAAAATTAATGTAAACGTAAATAAATTAATGTCGTTAAAACAATACGGTCCTGAATATCAAAGTTTACCAGCAAAGTGGGGGACAACCTTATTATAGCGTTCAAAGCCCCGAACCGCACATTAATGCGAGTGTATGAACGTAACTGTACAACAATTTTTATACAATTTTTTAAATAAGGTGAGAGAACAAAAAGCAATAATATTAATGATTTTATAAGCTTACGTAATAAAGTAGAAAATTACCGATAAATTATCTTAATATATTAATAGATACATATCAAGTATATTTTTTCTTTTTTTATATCGGCAATTTGAACTAACATGGCATGTTTTACACATTTTCCAATTAATCAATGTATGTTTATTATATTGTATAAATATTACTAGGAATATTAAACGTTTTTTAGTACATAAAAAAGTATCGTTGGATTCACAGTGAAGTGCTCTGATCATATGAACATATGTAATACAACAGAAGTAATACCATTTTAGAATCAATCGGTTTTCCTCATAAACGATAAATTTCCAAGAATGTTATGAATAAGAAATTGCGAATAATGAGATACAAATCGCGTATTGTCCGGTTCAAATTATAAGAGTATATAGATTAAATTTTTTTTATGAAAGATGTTTCATGAAGTCGTAATTAATATTGATATTTTACAAAAGATTTTTTGTTTTGTCATCATATTTCAGATTTACGATGGTACTTGTGGAGTTAGTCGGGGTCTTCATTTTTGCCTTGAGCATCTTGTATGTTTATTATAAATTTGTGATATTTAATTTCTGGCGTAAGAGAGGTGTTTTTTATGTTAAACCCGTTGTACCCACTGGAAATTTGACAGATGTTGTAACTGGAAGGATGTCAGTAGGTCAGTATCTCTTTATGTGTAATATAAATATAATGCATTAATATATAATTATTTACATATATAATTATTTACAGTAATTATTTACATTACTATATAATTATTACAGAAAACATTAATATATAATTATTTACAGAATTAGGAAAGTTTCTTCTATTTACAAGTTACTCATTAGTTTTTTACTTAATTTTCAGCAAACAAGAATTAAAATGAGTTTAAATGGATTTAAATTTTTAGAAGTACGCATTTATAAACTTTGAAATAAATCCTTTTCAGTTCTAATGCATTTTTATATTTATTTAGAGGTATTGCATGAAGCACATTTCTATATCATTCAATCTAAAAAGATTTCAGTTCTTTAAGTGTATCGGGAATACTGTTTTATTCAAAATTCTGAATAAGAAATGCAATTTTTTAATCTAATTAAATCTAGAAAGGGTTTTTTTATTCAATTAAATTTTTAAAAAAGTGAAAATCCACGAATGCTACTAAAGTACGCATTTAGATAAATTGAAATAGAAATTGATTAAAATTTCAATCCATTTAAATCCATTCTCGTTTAGTAAGTTTTTATATTTTTATTAAGTTTTTAGAAATTGATTACAATAATTTCGAATATTTTGTATTTTACATTATATTTTATTATTTGCTTCAATTTTATCGTTTATATTACTTCTTGTACTTAATTTCTATAACATATACATATCAGATGATCCACTAAAGTACTGTTAAAATATCGGTTCTTATAGAAATTCGTGTAATCATTAAAAGAAGGATAGAAATTTTCGAGAGTTTTTTGCTATCGCTCAGAGATTTTTTATTTTTACGTTATGTATTTTTCTTTGTAGAAACCGAAAATAATCATCATAATAACGCCAGAATTAAGGAGAAATTGATACATCAAAATGAAATAAATAAAAACCCTTATTCTCATTGTCAATTATGATTCAATAATTTATTTTTGAAATTAATTCCAAATTGGATCAAATGTAAAATAATATTGCACCACAAAACGTTAATTAGATTAGATTATATTTTTCATTATAATTTCGGTATCGTTTCCTTAATCCAATTAAGCGTTATGCATCGCGTCATATCAAAAGATGATAAATATTATAATGAAAAATATAATTGATATTCTTAATTAACTCCCGGCCGAGATCATAATTTTTGCAATAATAATTAATTATTTACAGATTTTAATGTGTTATTGAACATTTAAGATATGTAAAGAGCATCGAATTATTAATTAATTTAACTCGTGATATTACTGTGATAATTTAATAGAGTTTGGGTGTTTCAAAATCGAAAAATTGTTTCGGCGCGCAGTTTAAAGAACTTCTTATTTTACTACATACATATAGTATCTATATAAATTCACGAAATTATACAAGCACCTAAGATCCAGCTAGATTGTTAAAAGTATTATTTTCTATTGGTTATTGTGTTCTCACATGTATCTACCTATAAAATATTTATATTGCAATGTTTATACCTTAATATTTTTAACATTTAATAATGAAAAATATAATCTAATTAACGTTTTGTGGCGAAATATTATTTACATTTGATTCAATTTGGAATTAGTTTCATAAATAAATGATTAAAACATAACTGTAATAACTGTAATAAAGTAATGTTACAGCGATGCGAACAAGGATTTTTATTCGTCGCGTCTTTGATTGATCGTACTTCTCATCCCATAGAAATAATTCACGACCGATCTTTATCTCTATCTACATTAATTATGTCCCCTGCCACGCGCGTTGCGCCGTTTTGATCGCTTTCTTAGTACTTCCACCCGATATGGACGTAACAATAATAATAAATATATTATAGATATAATATATACGTATATATAAAAAAGTTTTGGATCACTGTGAGCCGTTTCTTTAGTTAACACTTGGTATAATAATTCCACTTCGGATAAGTTTTCATATAATGCCGACAAATCTTCTTATAAAACATAAATCGAAAGAAATATTTTTTCCCAACACACCAAGTCCTTGTTTAAATTGTCAATCTGAATGTTAACATAACAATTTTTCGTTCAACAGTGAGAATCCTGTTAAGTTCGTAACACGTACATTGTAGTTAAGAAATAAAAATCACGTGGTATGAAAAAAATTTCTACAATGAAAATTAATTTTGTTTTGTTTTATTTTAATTAAAAAAAAAAGTAGTTATGTTTTTTTGCAGTAATCAATCTGACTTCATTATCATGTCACAGTGATAACTTTATATTTCAGAAGATAATTTTTGTTGGCATTATATAAATATTAATCCAGAGTAGCAGGGGCGTTAACTTATCAATATGTGGAGTTGGACAATTAACGTGACGAGAAGAGAACTCCAATTAACGTATTTGATAAAAACCAATTAGTCTATTAAGATTAACCAATCGCATTTGTCATTTCGTTTAACGACGGATGCTATTGGCCAATTCGAGAATAGACTAATCGGTCGATTAAATTAATTGGAGTTGATTGAAGACTGTTAGAGCAATCATTGAACTTCAAATATTAATATTTATAATGAAATTATCTATAAGTGCATTAATATTCAAAATCACAATATTGGAAAGCACATGTAGTATTTATTGAATTCAACAAAATTTGCCACCTTATTGAAAAAGAATACGTCACAAAATTATATGATGAAATTATGCAATTAAAACAAGTAAATTACGTAACAAATTATTCGTTAACCAAATCAGTACGTAATTTTTTAGCATCACGTAATTTAAAAAATTACGTAATATTAGAAGTAACATTATCCATCACGGTAATTATATAATTGTCAAATTTTAAAGAATTTAATGATGGAAATAGGAAAAAAGAGCATATCATCGTGTGATTTTTTAAATCACGTCAATTATAAAAAATTATGCAATGATTTAGTACAACCTGTTACGTGATTCACTTGTTTTAATTGACTTCATTATATAACTGTGTGTGACGTGATCTTTTTCAGTAAGATGCATCTTAGAATGCAAATAAAATTGTAACAACTATAAGTCCAATAGCAGAGCCGGCTTAAGGTATTTGTGGCCCAGGGGCTGATGTTAAAACGGGGCCCCCTTCATTCATAAGAATTGTTTTATAATAGTATAGATAATAAATACCTATTTTCAATAGAAATTATTTATTGAATAATAGATATTGAATAACAATAAATTAAATGCAAAATACATATATACTTTGCAATTTCTATTTAAGAAACGTGGTTGTTCATATAATGACTTTTGTAGTTTGAGTCGTTTTAATTCTGCTTAAAACATACAAGTTCTGGATGTTGAAGAATAAACACATGAAGATAATTCACATTTTATTAAAGTTGTAGTACTTACAAAATTTTTTTTCTTGATATAAGATAAATGTACCGGTTATTGGACAGTTAAAGAATTGCAAGACGAAATCATTAATTTAAATTTTAGAAACATTAACATTTTAGTTTATTACACATGCTTAGTAAGAATGGATGTTTTCTGAAACTAAATCGTATCAAATATGTTATTTGCGTTTATTATAAATTGTATTTAGTCATAAATATAATATGATTCAAAAGTCCTAATTATTGGACAAAAAATGTGACGTGTTCTGTGTCCACAAAAATATGACCCAATTATTGGACAAATGATAAGCAATTTTTTTATTATAGAAGAGAATCGCATTTTAATTATCAATCAAGATTGTACAAAAAAGTTTATCGAAATTGTAATTAGTGAAGTTTTATATAAAGTTTTATATGTAATATATACAAAATATGTTTTTTAATCATTCAGTAGATAGGTACGCTAAGGAATATCCAATAATTGATACACGCATATGTGTGAATGTCCTAATAAATGGACGATTGTCCATAAACGAAATTTTTTTTACGAAAGTTATTTTTAATATGAATAAATTATATAATACTTAATTTCTAAATAATATAAAAAATTGCTTAAAAATTTATTTAGAGTAACACATATCATCAAAAGCTTAATATTTAAAATTGTCACAATTTGTCCAACAATTGGGTCCACAAAGTGGTACATTTATTGTGAAGTTTTATATAAAGTTTTATATGTAATATATACAAAATATGTTTTTTAATCATTCAGTAGATAGGTACGCTAAGGAATATCCAATAATTGATACACGCATATGTGTGAATGTCCTAATAAATGGACGATTGTCCATAAACGAAATTTTTTTTACGAAAGTATTATTTTTAATATAAATAAATTATATAATACTTAATTTCTAAATAATATAAAAAATTGCTTAAAAATTTATTTAGAGTAACACATATCAACAAAAGCTTAATATTTAAAATTGTCACAATTTGTCCAACAATTGGGTCCACAAAGTGGTACATTTATCTTAATGCACGCAGATTCATTGATTAAATCATTAAAATCAATATTTTTCATCAGTTCGCTTTTTATTGCTAATAATGCTAGTGACGATAATCTAGATAGTAGTATTAGTCATTGTGGATCGACATTTATTTTTTATTATTGTTAATTTGGAAAACGATTGCTCAGCCTCGCAATTTGCTGATCGGTATTGTTAAAAATTTATCTCGTTTTAAGTACACAAATTTTTGAGGATTTCATGCAACGCGAACAGGCCTTTTGACAAACAATAAGGATAAAATGATTCACTGTGTTACACAATGTTGCCTGTGTATGTAGCTGGAAAGCCACTCTCTGTAATTTCTACATCTGAACAAGCTAATTTATATTCCTCATTGTACTTTCTTTTATTGAATATTGTCTGTACACGATGTTTCATTGCACGAGGAATGCAAAATTAATTAATTATTTATTTGTCTTTGATTATTTACTTTCATCAATAAATACAATTTTAAGCTAAGGGGCCCCCTGAAAAGACGGGGCTCGGAGCTATAGCCCCCTTAGCCCCCCCGCCCCCCTTAACCCAGGGCTGTCCAATAGAATTAGACTGAAAAATTCTCATTTTGGAATGAATTATAAACTAGCATTTTCTCTACACGAAAATCTTTGGAAGATCATAAAAAAAGAAATGCATATGTTTGAGACTTTAGACTTGTGTAGGAAATATGGAAAAAAAACCAAATAGTTTGCAAAAAATGTTTTTCATTTATAAAACGAAAGATATGATTATATGGAAACAAGTTCAGTATGAAAAATGTAGATATTCAAAATATTTACAAAATAAAACGTGGAATATTAAGATCGGTCTATTAAGTTAAGTAGAAACAAAATAAAAACTATCGAAAAAGGTTTTTTTTCATTTGCTTTCCGTTCATTAAGATTTAAACGCAAAGCTTTGAAATTTTTGTAAAATGTAGCCCTCATGATGACGAAAAAATCTAGCCCTAAACAAGCATGAAATATTTATTAGTTTCTGCCTGTTTGCGCAAAACTTAATTTCTTCATCTTTTACTAGTCTAATATTTTGCGTGTTTTCGTGCCTAGAAGTCTCTGAAGCGGCGGCAATTCGAAAGCACACTAAGAAGTCACTAAAAATGTAATGAATGCACAAAAATCTCGTCGATAAATGGCTTTCAGAAATAATTCACTTTACAAGTATTGGCAAATATATGTAGCTGTCCAAGAAAATTTTTTTGAAATAAGAAATGTTGTGAAATAGAAAAAACAAAATTAATTATATTAGTGTTAAAAATAAAAAAAAAATTCAGGAACATTTAAATTCATAAATTTATCCATAAAAAATTTTCATTAATTATACTTTATATTTTATAAAATTGCAACTGTTACAAGTTACAATTTTTATATTGTATTTATAATTGTTTAAATAATCGTTACACATTTTGTTTTTATTTTAATAAATGTATAATATTTTATGTTATTTATTTTTATTTAAAATACACACACGAAATTAATTAAAAAATAGTTTGATTTTCAACAGGCGAACTTTTCCAGAATGCTTACATGAAATATAAGGATCATCGGGCTTTTGGAATGTATACCTTATTTAGACCAATTTTGATAATTGCCGATCCCGATCTTATTCGAACGGTATTGACAAAGGAATTTGGAAGTTTTCATGATCGTGGAATGTATTTCAATGAAAAAGTTGACCCGTTGTCTGGCAATTTGTTTCTTATGCCTGGAAAAAGATGGCGAAACTTACGTGTCAAAATGACACCAACTTTTACTTCAGGGAAAATAAAACAGATGTTTCCAATTATGAAAGAATATAGCGAAAAATTTGCAAATTATCTGAAGGAAAAAGCAGAAATAAGAGATTCTATCGAGATGAAGGACATGTTTGCAAGGTAAATTTTTAAGAATTTATTATTTAAATAAAGTTTTTCTAACAACAAGAAATAGAAACTTTTTTATTTAAATATAAAGTTATTAGCCTAATAGAAAATAGAATTCGAAATACGATAAGTATATAAGATAAACAACATAATATTTTTTTAAGAAAAAGTATTTTGTCCTTTTGGATACAGAATGTAATGTTCTATTTAATCCACTTAAAAGTAATGCAAAAACGATTAGATTAAAAAAGACTAATTAGATCTTGCTCGTTTTTTACAATGCAAAGTGTAAAGAAAAAACGGTCTAAATCGAGAGGTAATAAGATTTTCTTATAAAATGAATTTCTAGTTTACGAAGTTAATACAACATAAAAATAAAAAATATAAAAAATATAAAAAAATATAAAATAATATAAAAATATCGAACGTTTCGGAACTCACGAGTCCTTCTTCAGCGATTCTTTTAGATGTTACAAAATCATAGGGATAAGCATAATCTTACGGTCTAAGCAACGTGGTGTGATACAATTTGTTTGAAGAAATTTATTCTCCTGTTTTTGTGTGAACGTAGAAATTGTATTTAAAGTGAGAAATTTATTGTCGTCAATATAATGTACTCAAGAGGTAAGGCAAGATTGAGTCATTTAAATGTAAATTGTCAATTATTGTTTATTATTGTCAATTTTTGTATTACTGCAATTAATTATTTATTTGACGATTGAAATTCTTACTTACGATAAAATGTATAATGAAAACAGGAGCGTATATTGTACCACACCATGTCGCTTATACAGTAAAATTATGCTTTCATCTCTACCCAACAAACGTAAATGGATTGAAATGGATTAAAATGGATTTAGATTTTCAGAAATATGGATTCATGAATGTTAAAATAAATCCTTTTAAATCCTGAATACATTTTTATTTATTTATAGGAATTGTACGGAGCATATCTGTATGCTTTTCAATCTATAAAAATGATATCAGCTTTTTCAGTACATCGTCAATACTGTTCATTTCAAAATTTTGAATAGAAAACGCAGTTTTTCAATCCAATTGCATCCAATTGAATCCAACTGAATGAAAAAAAAAAGCTGTTTAAAATTTTAATATATTATACTTTATATTTTTTATGTATTATTATATTAATTTAATAAACTAAAAATTTATTTTATAAAAAATCTTATTATCACTCGATTTAGATCGTTTTTTCTTTGTATTTAAAAAAGACTGTATACACATCATAAAAAAAAGTTTATAGAAAATTTAAAAACTTATTCAATTTTTTGTACAAAAATGTACAAAGCTTTCTTAAACTTATCTAAACAATGATTATAATATATATTCTTTTCATTAAAATTAGTTCAATTTTTTTCGAGAATATCTATTTATTTTACTTTGGTCCAATTTCAGAATTCATGGTTAATTCTTAACTGAGGTTCAACTTTATTTCTCATTTTTTTCTAATTCTAGAATTAGAAAGAGATAAAATGTAAATTAAATCTCGGTTAAAAGTTAACCGTGAATTGTAAAACTAGGCCTTACCTCCTTTATAATACAATTTCAATGTTAATATTTGAAAAAGTTTAATATCTCAAAAGTGAGACTAGTGACACCAATTTGAGTGATATGGATTGTAACAGAAACTTTTCAGTAAATTATTGAATTTATAACCATTAGTAATATACTGCATTTTCTGTATTTTTATAGATGAATTACTATTCTTATGTGAACATATTCAATATTTAAGCTCTTAATATTTAATTTTAACGGATTCCACATTTTTTTCTTATGAACTTGACAAAGTTCTCACCTCTAATTGACGAATTTGTTATATTTTAATAATTAGCATACATTGTTCAATTTTTTACTTATTTTCTCTGTATTACATGTTATTAACACATTTGATATATCTCATTTTATAATTATTAATTTAATTGTTGTCTTACTTTCACTTATTGTTATGTAAGATATTTATTTCTGGTTAAAAGTTTTAGATCTATAAGAATTGATGAAGACCAATTAAAAGTCGAAAATGTTATTTTTTGATGTCAGTAAATTAAATTACTTAACAAAAAGTGTTTTTATATTACATTTAAGATTGCTCCTTTTAGCGGCTTTCTATTTAAATTTAAGAAAAATTTCTAAATTTTCTTCTCTTTTTCCTTTCTCTCTCTCTAAATTTTACAACTCTCCCTATTTGAATCTTTTTACTCTCTTATAGCTATTATTTCTGAATCTTTATTTGAATATTGTTCGTTTTTTGACAAAAACATAGTTATGTTTTTGCATCAAAATGTTAAAATATCAATGCTTCTTTATTCCTAAAAATTTGTTCTCTCGTATGTCTTTAAGTTCTCACCTCTTAGTATTAAGTTGGTATTTTGTAATTTCGATAAAATTTAATAAAATTAATTGAAAACTATTTGTCAATTCTATCAATAGATATTCAACAGATGTGATCATGTCAACAGCTTTTGGTATCGAATCTAATTGCATTGAGAATCCCAATAACAAATTCCGAACCTACGAAAAAAAAATTTTAGAGATGAATCCAATTTGGGTTGCATTATCTATGTTTGCGCCGAAAATTATGGATTTCTTTTCCGTTCCTTTCACGGACCGACAAGTCATCAGTTTCTATATGAAAATGTTTCGAGAGACTGTAGAATATAGGAAAGCTTATAATATTATTAGATATGATTTCGTGAATCTGCTCATACAACTAATGAACAGGGATTATGTTGATCCTGATGATAATGAAGAGATTACCAACGTATCATGTAATATATACATAATTTATATTTTACTTTTCTTATTATTAATTTACGTTTGTTCTTATATTAATAGCTTCTCCACAATGTGTTAAAAAATATATTATTTCTCTTTGCAATCTTGTAAATCAATTAAATAAAACTGTTTTCTTAAAATATATTTTTGTTTAAAATTATATACATTGTATATCATAACTATAAATATGTTATTTTTTTAACTTGTAGCAACTATGAATAAACTTACCATGACAGAAGCAACTGCACAAAGTTATGTCTTTTTTGTGGCTGGCTTCGAAACCTCTGCAACGACAGCAACATATGCTCTGTATGAATTAGCTCAACATCAAGATATTCAAGACAAAGTTCGCAAGGAAATCGATGAAATATTGAAAAAGCATGGTGAACTGACCTACGACGCTATTAACGAAATGATGTATCTTCATAAAGTAATAAATGGCAAGTTCATATATATTAATCACACATTATGTTAAAAGTATAATAGTACACGGGAAAAAAAAGATGTTTTAACAGCATTATTTTAATTAAAAATAATTTTGTTAATTTGATAATAGTATTAATAAAATAAATAAAATTTTACTATAGAAAACAACAGCACAAATACGTATTTAAATATTATTCTGTTAAGTTCGGGAAGGGAGCAAAAGAGAGAGAAATGTACACTCTTGACATGCTTCAACAGTTTCATTAATAATTGAGTTACTGAATTAATAAAACTATTTTCAATTAACATCAATACAAGAAAAAAATTTTAATATACGAAAATATTTCATTATTTGATGCTACATATATGAATGTATTATACGTTCATATACATTACTTATATTTTGAAAAAGATGTATCATTATACTTTTCGTTTATATACTGCAGAGACTATGAGAAAATATCCAGCTGTTCCTCTTTTGCACCGCATTTGCACCAAAGAAATAGATTTACCAACAACAAACATTCGTGTACCAGAAGGAACTTTAATAACTATACCGGTACTTGGTTTACATCGAGATCCATCGATATACCCGAATCCAGATAAATTTGACCCTGAACGATTCAATGCAGATAAAATAGAACAAAGACATTCTTACACTTATTTGCCATTTGGAGAAGGCCCACGAAATTGTATTGGTGTGTATTAATCCATTAATACTACATTTGATTTATATTGAATCAATACAAATTTATAAGTTTTGAATAATATTAATTTTCAGGTTCGCGATTTGGCTATATACAAACAAAGGTTGGTCTGGTGAGTCTTCTGTCGAGATATATATTTAAACTTCATTCTCAGACTCCAGTCCCACTTGTTTTCGACGAAAGAACTTTTGTTCTCACAGCAAAAGATGGTGTAGATCTTATTATTGAGCCGCGAAAATAATTACGATCTTATTTTAGATAAATATCAAGAATGAGAGAGAGAGAGAGAGAGAGAGAGAGAGAGAGAGAGAGATGTATATTATAATAATAGTATAATTATAATTAGCATAATTAATAGTATAATTATTTAGATGTTTGCGGGGACATCGGATGAATTAAACAATAAATGTTTAAATAAATTGTCATTATAACTAATACACTTGTCTGGATTATTTTTATAGTAACTTTATTTTTATAGCAAAACTTAAACATTTTTATTGTTGTGCCGATTTTCTACGACAACGTATTTGGGATCCTTAGGAGGAAAAAAGATCTTATTTTCTCTAAAAACAATATAAGATATATGTTACTTGTATGTATTAAAAATAAATATCTTACAGTTCTTACAATTTTTTCAATATTTCATCTAATATAGCTTGTAAAACTGCGTAAAAATCATCTTTACTTTATAAAGCATTTATGAAGAATTCGCAGTTTTCTGGAACCATGTTAAATCACATAGAACATTTCTTTAGAAAAACAAATTGAGTTTTTAAACAGGAATTCCTTGTTAAACTGTATAAATTACAAGAAATTCGTAATTTCAAATAGAATTCAATAAATGATTAAGGGTAGAATTTCAAATAGAAACACATTTGGTATCTATTTAATGCAGAACTGCTCGTAAAACCGTAGAGGAATTATCTTTATAGCACTAATTTACAGTTTTCTGACAAACTACGTTAAACCGAATATAATACATCTTTGCACGAGAATGAATGTGGCCTTTGTGAAACAGAATGACCGCGTAAATTACAATTCCGCGAAATTTGCAATTCCAAATAAAGTTCAATAGACGATTGATGATAGAATTTCGAGTAGAAATACATTTGCAATGCGCTCGATACGGAAATGCTGTTAAAACCGCGTGGGAATTACATTAAAGCATTCAAAAGGAATTCGCATTTTTCTAGTAAACCACGTTAAAACGCAAAGAACACATTTCTCTATGAGAATGAATGCGGCTTTTGAAACAGAAATTCTTCGTTAAACCGTGTAAAAAAAAAATTACAAGAATTTCGTAATTATAAATAAAACCTAATGGACGTGGGATTCCAAGCGGAATCACGTAGAACATCGTATTTGCAATCTGCGCTTGATATGGAAATGCTCATACAACCGCGTAGGAAGTCACGTGTAAAACACTCGAAAAACATCATAGTGATAAATATAATTTATAAAACCGTGTAAAGAATAATTTGAATGAGGATAAATGCGAAATTACTGTTTCAAAAACCAACACTTTCCGGATTTTTTTTCTATGTAGTTTTACCTGGCATTTTAAGCAGACACTTAGTTCCTCTCAACGACGAACACCACGACATCCAATTCCTTGTAGACGCTAGACACCCATTTCCTCAACAGCGAACACTTAGGGTGCATTACATTTCATGCATGACACGCATAATGTATCATTTATCCTTGTTGCTCACCAAACATTAAACAAGGACAGTTAATGCATTATGCGCATCATGCGTGAAACGAAACGCAACTCGTATCTCTTGATCTTTTATTGATCATATTGATCGTGTTCAGCAGACTCAACAGTTTTACAACTATTTTATGATTCTTCGCTGAGATAGGATTATTCCTTTAGATCTAAAAGTATAATCCAATCAGCGAGACCAATCATAATAAAACGGTTGCAAAACTGTTAAATCTGCTGACGCAGCCATTATAAGTTTTACATGTAAAAATTGTTGTTGATAAATAAATTTGCACATAACGTCGAAAAAAAAAACTTTCTTTACATCCATGCACAAATAGACCATATTGGTGCCGCTAATGTACCGGAATGACCGTTCTCAGGTTTCTCTCTGCTTATACTTTCAAATTTTATTTCATATATTCATTCATTTAAAACAGATTGCTATAAATTCTACATAAATTTTTGCGACTAAAATTTCACGATTTATTAAAAAAATCTCGTAAACATAAAAACAATGTTAGGTATTACAATTAAACAAATCTTTTTTAAAGAACTTTTGCGTTCGTGCGAGTCTAATTATTAAAAAAAAAAAACATTTAAATCATTATACTTCTGAAATGTATTAAACATTTCTATGAATTACTGAGTATATTGTAATATATTTATTCTTAAAGCTGTTATTAACCTATTCGCATCAATTTCGCTGTTTGTATAGTTAATTAATTTATACATTTATACTTTTCCGCTTTCTTCCTTCTTATCCTCTCACATCGAGCGCTCTCGCGCAGCGCACACACGCCCCTCCTCCTTCATAATTTATAAAATTTTTTGAATGGTATTCATAATCCGTTCTTATTTTAACACGGTTTTAAGCAACGTCTTGTGAGAGGCTCGCCTCACTGATTGACTTATGACATCTTAATATTACACTTAACACAGTCTCAAATATAAGAATCGACTATGAATACCGGTCATGTCATTCGTTTACAAATAATTATCAATATATAACATCACTTTTGTGCATACTCGCAAGGTATCAAAGTGGTCGGATCTGTTTCATCGATAAATCGTAGCTATTTAAGTCTTATCTCATCTCTTCTAAAATATATAAACAAATCTTCATTTAATTCTTTAAAAGTTTCAATAATTGGCATAGAAACTCAATCTACGAATTCGTCTTTATACTATTACGTAGTACGCAAACGCATACATAACGTTTATATAATTGCTGGATAAAAAATATTCGACAATCTATAGCGTTAAAGGACCTAATACTTTCCATATTTCCATTATTTCTAAAATAGCCGACTACACATCAACACTTATACGCAAGCAAAAATTTAAACAAGTGTAATATATATATATATATATATGTATATATATATATATATAAATATCAATTTTTACAGTGCTAAATACATGTTTAAGAAATTATCTATATATAATAATATGTATATTGTAATCACATTAGGTAAAAAAGTTTATCCATACATTCAGTGCTTATAGATTAAGTTTAACTTTTACTGTGTCAATCATAAGATAAACGATTATTATTAAAGTCCATCGTCAGATATTATACAAACAACATTTAATTTAGTAGAATGTGACAAGAAAAATTTAATCGAAACAATTTGTTAATTGTATTGTGTGAATTTTTCAAATATTACAGGCAGAGATAATCTTTTCTATCTTGGTACATTATTTTTATTAATTAACTAGATTTAGTTTTCTTTTTCCTAGGATAAAAGAATGAGGACAAAAATTATACTAAGGTTGATAGGACATCGAATATAAACGCCTTATTAACTAATGGCGAATTCGATACACTGATGCACTGACTCTGCTCTGGTGCTGCCCTGACAGGGTGCGAGTGCAGAACCTATTTTGGTGCTATGCCAAACTGCACTATCAGAAACGTCAGTGTAACATTTCTTGAATTCGTTTAGTTCATTCGGTTGATCGGAATATAAATTCAGCACTACACTGGATCAGTTTTCATTTGCCGAATAAGATAATCTGAATGCACTGATACAGTGCGCACAAGCCGAATGTATAACACTGAAAAAGTTCGCACTCAGTACATACTAGTGCAGTCTACCGAATTCGCTATAACATTATCCATAGTGAAAGAACTGAGGTGTACACTAAAGTGTACTAGTACACTGTTATATATACTCGCCATAGATATATTATATAAATGCCCTGGTATATGAAATTATTCTAGTAATTGAATTGCAATTTGTCGAACTATAACATTAACATTGCAAGTTTATAAAAGCAGTTCTCGTATCGGTGTTTTTCTCGAAATTTTTGAATGATTACAAATCAGCTATAACTTATTTTTACGTATTCCCTACAATCAAGACTTTTCGAGACATTGGGCACGTTCAAGTTGAAAAAGCGGCTAGCTTGCTCGTCAAGCAAATAAACATAATTGGTTATTACTTATAGATCCAATCATATTCGATTGCTTGGCAAGCGTACTTAGCCACTTTGCCGTTTTAAACTCGCCCATTCATAAAGCTTCGTCGAAAAAATCTGGCAGTGATCAGAGTTTTCTTCAATAGGCCAGTGCAAAAGTTACAAATTTGATACAAATACTTGATCATAGATTAATAAATGACACGTCAATAAAAGCAATAAAAATATAAAGCGATAATATCTATAATATAAATATTTCATAAACTTACGTACACGTAAGAATTTTACAAGTAAACCTACCCAAGTGTGACACTCTGATTTTGATGAGTTTTTTTAGTATTAGTTGTTCTCCAGACAAAAATAAACGACACATATTTTTGTCTGGAGAACAACATACTAAAAACTCATCAAAATTGGAGTGTTATACTTGGGTAAGTTTATTTGTTAGTTATATTATGCTAACAAGTTGTAAATAAATCTGAAGTCTATAGGACGAACATTCTAAGATTATTGACTTAGGCTGTACTGGTGTGACTGTTAGCACCGCTTATAGTGCTAAAGAGAGCAGCGCTATTACGTTTGAAGTTTCCTACTTGCTCGTCTAGCCATATTGGCTCTCCAAATAAAGATGACAAACTTTGACACAGTTTCTGATAATTCTCACGTAATACTTCTTGATATTCATGTTGGTCCGGTGTGATCAGTTTGCTATTAATTTGTAATGCTGTGTAACATATCTTGACAAATTCCCTAAAATCGTAAGAAAACTCCTTGTAAGTGATTACAATATCATGCATATAAGAAATTATAAAAGATTAATTATAAAATTAATTAATTATAAAAAGTGATAAAATATACCTAAAGACATCTTTCAATTCTTCTACTTTATCATCGGGATATTGCGGAGATAAAGCAGGATCCAGAAACGCGGAAGCATAAGCTAAAGGACCGGCGTTCACTGTTACACAAATGCTACCTTGGAGACGTAATTGTAGTTTTTTTACGTCCGTCGGTCCGATCAAAGCCACATCTTCCAATTCTTGAACACGTTGCCTCATCTCGTCCAAAGCGACCTCGATAGGACTAAGCTCCACAATCCGTTTCTCGACAATCCCGATGCGCTTTTTCACATACGGAAAAGCATATTGTGCTGCGAAAATAACAAGTATAAAAATCTTTACGCTTTCTTTTTCCACTAAAACAGAGTCTCAGATAACATAGGTCTACAAAATTTAACTTTTTGTGCTATTTAGAAAAGAAAAATTGTTTCTCATAGTTTTTGATGCGCTGAATCAGAGTCCGTGAGTAATTGTTAACATTTTTATTTTACAATATTTAAGTAGTATTAAGTCGAGCTATTTTCGACATGTCTGGCACATCAACCATAAATTTTCAAAAATAGTCAAAAACACATTTTTTTAGGTGTATCAATCTCATCTTTTTTCTTAAAAACCTAACGTGTTAAAACATTTTTACTTATGAATTCGGATTCAATGCATTGAAATTCATGGGAAACTATTATTCTTTTCTAAACAACAAAACCATGCAAATCTGTGTAATCAAATAAATTATTTAACATTTAACTGTACTTGTGAGAATAGTTCTGCGTTTCCATTGATCCTCCGGATTGCCTCTTGCTTTGCCCTCTTTAGTAAACGGTGTCTCGAACATGAAGCAGGATACGTTATGATTCTGCTCGAACTCTGTCTGTAGTGCTTCTAATTCGATCTTCTCAAAGTATGGTATGACATGCGTTACCTGAATATACGCTACCTTAGGATCCAACTCACTTACTTCAACCGGTACAGAATCCATTATTATTTTAACGTTCTCAGATCCAAATTTTTCGCTATACAAATGCAACAAACGTTCCGATATCTCAGATAATGATGTTACTTTGGGTTCTTTATAGATGTATTCTTGACAATTTTCCTCTTCGAAATATGCCTAAATAATAATACATATGTTAATTTTGTTATTTTGTATATTTATTAATCATAAATATAGACACTACCGTGTCACCTGATTTAGTACCTATATACAGGATGAGTTTAATAAAAAGTTTATCACGATTTTTTTTTCCGAAAACGGTTAGGGATAAGAGCAAGACGCTTATTGTTAAAATTATAGGATAAATATAGGAGAACATACTTTGATGACCTTGAGTAATCTTAAATCTTTTTTACTATCATAGATTTTTTTTTAATGGAAAGAGGTATTTTTTAGCCATTCTATTGATAGTACTCAATTAGCTAAATATCTTTGAATTAGAGTATTTCTTCGAAAAAAAATAAAAAAATCAGATTATAAGTTTGAAATAAATTTTTTATTATTGCAATGTTCAAAATATGTTCATCATGATAATCTATTATAAACATGCCTTCGCGAAAAGCTTGCTTAAACCTTTTCTAACTTTTGAATCGTTATTTCGCGAAAAATATTTCTTTTTCTTTCCATCATGTTTTCTAACAAGACGTTGACAGTAAGCTCTTTTACTCTTCATTCTCAAAGTCCTATTATTTCAAAAAACATGATAGAAAGAATAAAAAATATTTTTTACGAAACAATGATTCAAGAGTTAGAAAAACAACCATAGTTGAGATTAAAGTTTTAACCACCCTACATGTATATACACATATATTTAATATATTTTTTTTAAATTATAAAAGTATATTCTCTGCTAATAATGTATATATCTTACCACACCAAAGAATGCTACTCTGTAGAACCTGCCGAGCAATCTCTTTCCAGTTCGCGTTACCTCTACAATTTTATTACAGGCTTGTGCCAAATGAGAGTAGCAATTAGCTAAAGCTTCGTAATTTCTTTTCTTTTCATATATAGGAACTATTAAACGATACAAATGCCCAAGCAATTCAAAACGCTCGGCTTTCTCTAACGTGTCGGCACAAACTTCCAATTGTTCGAGAAGTAAAGTTTCGTTATAGTGGATATCTTGAATGCCTGAAATAAGATCAATATCTCTAACATCTGTTTTCAATTACATATAACACGATAACAAACACAGATAATAAATATAATGCAGTAAAACAAATCTCACCAGCATCGAGTTTGAGATTGCGCTCGTCCTTTGATATGTTCACAGAGATTTGATCAAAAGCCTCTGCGCCCCACAGATGAACTTTCCTCAATTTCAGATATTCTGCCATTAATGCTGCAATATGTAGTTGACAACAAGCAGCCTTAAGAATGAAAAAGGTATGTTAAATTATGAAAGAGCTTTGTGCAATATATTTTTATATACATATGATTGCATATTTTCTTCGAAATAGAGTTTGTAAAAATAGGTACCTCGGAGAAATTTCCATCCCTGGCATGATTCCTGGCCATAGTTTCTAACCAGGTATGCCTCAATTCGGGTGTGCTGGCATACGAGTTGGCCAAACTATGTTGCAAATCGACTAGCATCTCAGGATCGTTATTATGTTCTCGCATTTGCGCGGTTGCCATCAAAACTGTTCGTATTCTTTTGTTGAGATCTTTTACTTCAACTGGGAAACCTGTGCCTTTCATAACTTTATCAGAGGAAGCGTAGCTGTTAATTAAGGACAGTGATTCTTGAAATCGTGAATTGTTCAAACTGATTACGTTCCCCAACATTTGAGAGACTGAAATTATCACCTAGAACAAATATGATAAGATATGTTCAACGTTTGTATAATTCGGCTAAAAATAATGATAATAATGATTATATATCGTGTTAAATAAGTTTAATTTTGAATTGTGCTCTAAACAAAAGTACTGTACCTGTAAATGTACTCTGGTTAATCCCTTTCGACTAGTAAACTCAAAATTACTTCGCATGAGTAAATACAGCAAAGCGCAAGACTCCTGTCGTATGGAACTCAGCTTGCTGTTACAGCAACGCAATAGCTCATAACACAAGCGTCCACAAAGCATAGCGTTGCCTACAAGGAAAAAGCTTTGTGCATATTTTACGTGTGATTGTTATATTTCATCATCGACAACCAAATTGTGCTTTTATTCTCGTTCTTTACAAATAAACTCAATTTCTATGACCTTTGAATAGTCGCCGAGGCCATGTTGGAATCGTGACGTCAGAAGCGAAAAATGACATGTTAATTTATATTATGTGCATTTTTAAATAAAAACAATTTGAATAAATCTAAATGACGAGATCGCTTTAAAACACTTGTAAAAATGGACGAAAACTGTTCTTTTCCTTAACAGTCAGTAAATGGTCATAAAAGGTACATAAAGTGAACTTCTATACAAGCAGAAAACACACATGACAGCCGTTTGATAGCGGCTGAAACGAGTATAAAATTCTAAGATAATTTTAGTTTTCGTCCATTTTTCGGACTTTCATAAATACGAGACAAGTCATATTTTCACAATTAAGCACATAATAACGAAATGGCATGTAACATAAAATTTTGTTACTTTTCACGCCTATTAGTTCAATCCTTTATCGTGGCGAAGCGCTGTAACACATATGCAAGCACGAGCCCATGTCCGTGTGTTCGCTTTCAGCCCGAAAATGAGCACACGGACATGGACTCGTACTTGTGTGTGTGAGACTACCGGTTACACTAAGCTGCCGACTAATTCGGTGTTGCCACCATCAACGCGGAATTTTTGGTTGAATACTTAGGAGCCTTAAAGTTCGAGAATTAGAAATTACCTTTAAAAAGCGCGATAGAATAGTTATTTAAGAAAGCTCGGAGTCCAGCGAAAACATGACGTAATAAAGTTTCGGACTGACCAACTTGAAGGAATGATAAATAAATATTAAAGAATTTTTGCATAACTGCATTGTTGCCTTCATTTGCCAAGAGAACATCCTACAAAAACAAACTGTATTAATGTTCTGTCATTACAGCATTTAACTTTTCATATTTTGATTGATTATTATTAGATCAAAAATAAGTGTGCATTTAATTTATGTATTTTAATTTTTGGAATTTACACGCAAGAAACAATATTAAAAAAGGCAATTTTTTGCCAACTAATGGAAATATAAACAGTATATCTTATAGATTTCGATCTAAATATGACAATATTAATTTTTATTTAAAATGTGAGGAACATTGTCATTTTTCAGATTAAAATCCTATTTTTTTTTAGTGAAAATAAAAACTTTAACCTGAACAATGACAATGTTGCCCATATTTTCAATGAAAACTAATATCATCATGTTCAGCAGGTCAAAATCTATAAGATTCACTATGCTTTTATGTTTCCATTAGTGAGCAAAAAACGATCTTATTTGAACGTTATTCTTTGTATCAATTTCTTAACATCCTTCAAATAGATTTTTATTTACTAAAATTTGTTGCTGTTTAAACTTGATTAATTTCTTAATTTTTAGCAATCGCAGTATAAGAAATTACTTAATATGAGAATAATTGCCAATTAACATGTTCATGAAAATAATTGACCATACATACAATTTACATATAAAATCAAGGGGATAAAAAATTTATGATAAAATTATAATTACTTTAAAATGGATGCAGAAGAGACCCAAGCAATCCAACGCGATTAGGCCTACTTCTGTTGCCATGTTTGCCTCCAATAAAGCTTGATACACTTTGTCACTATCATTTTCAATTAGATTTTCTCTAGTAATTGTATTATGAGGTTGCAATGTGCTAGTAGCGGGACTTTCAGTGGTAAAGTCTGGTGGTGCCATTCTGGCAGGTAAAGTCATTGCTTTAACAGTGCGGGGTTTTCCAGCATTATTTGCAATTTTCGCGGCTATTTGTCTCTTACCTATATATTTAAAATGATGCAAACTCATCCTAAAAATAGATGAAAATAAGATTTACATAAAATTTAGAAATGAGTGTACTAACTGCATCAATACAATGTTGAATAAATCAATATTGTCGTATTTTTCTTAAAATAAACAAATTCTTTGACTATTATTATACTATTAGTTTTCTACTTACTCAATCACTGTAAAGAAGCTCAATATTTCTGTATCATTGCATTGTTGCCACCAGGCAATCACTTGATGATCACCCAAATACTTGACAATGAATAGGAAACAAAGTAGTATATCCTTCACTTCAGAAGGCTGCAATTTATCGCATCTAGGCGACGACTGTGTCACGCTCAAAGTACGTGAATGTCTCTTTCTCTCGCTCATTCCATTTTCTGGCAATTCTTTAATAATAGTGGTCTCTTGAGAAACGTTAGATTGGGACACACCAGACACCGTCGATGTATCAGACTCAACACTGGTGCAAGAATATCCATTTACCAATCCTTGACCCGCAATAGCGGCAAAATAAGTGGAATCACGCAGATGCATAGACGATCTTATAGGCGATTGAGTATCTAGGTGAAGAGTTAATCTGCAATAACATCAAAACTTTATTTTAATTTACAATTAATTATAAATTATTATAACTTTTATTAATATATTAACAAATACCTATGAATGGACTTGGGTGTACTTGCAGACGTAGAAGTAGCAATGGTATCTTTCGTTGATAGAAACGAGCTACTAGTCGATACCCTATTAGTACCGTTTTGCTTGATTTCTATCTTGATTTCGTTCTCCTCTACTAACTGCAATCGATGTAAATTCTCCAATACAATACCAAGCCACGGTATATAAATTGATGCTATTCTACTTAATTGACCCTGAATTAAAATTCAAAACATGAAGTATATATAGATTAATATAAATTGTGAAAAGAAAAACAAGATCTTCTCTAACTTTTTTCAACAATGCAATTCCTTAAAGACTACCAACGCTTGTAATCATGAACAAAATCTTTAAAAGTCGTACCTTATTCTGATATCTATCGTCCAACTCATGTTTTGCCATTAGATCTCGTAAAGTATTAATAGCGACCTTGCGGATCTGCACAATCTCATTAAGAGAGGTCTTGACTTCTTGCATCAAAACACCAGCCAGAAAGTGGTGTTTGCAAAATTCCTCCGTAAGGCAATATTCATTCATTAGATCTGTCGCGAAATAAGTATTTTAGTTTTATCTATTTTTAATACATATAAACTATCTCTCTAATTGTGTAATATAATTGAAATAATACTGTAATATTACAATATAAATACGTATAAAACATAGACAAATAGAAAACATTCAGTGCAGAATCTAAAAATACAAATAATGTGAATATTTGTCGATCTAATTCAATTTTTGAATCAATGATATTTTTAAACTAACTAAAATCATAACTAATTTTAATTAATCACAAATTATAATTGGCATTAGCTAAATATTGTTACAAAATAGAAAATATGTAATGAATATTTGCTATATATGAGACATATGTATAATCAACATTTCGTGTATGAATACTGTTATGAACATACCATCACATTCTGGTTCACTCTCAGTTTCATTGTCAGAATCTTTCGAGCACGCGAATAATTAAGTTACAATAAATTAGTTAATTTTCATCGTAATTCTTATATGTATTCCTTATATGTATCTTATATGTAATTCTTATATGTATTGCTATAAAAACTTACCTCTAGAAGCAAAACGCGACTGCATCATTGGCAAATTGAAGGATACATAGTGCTCATGAGAGCAGATAATTTGTAAAAAGGTGAATTTGAAATCGTGCAATGTGCGTTGATCGCCAGACGAAAAGTTGTCCAGATAAGAATTGATAAGACGAAACACAAAACCACGGTCCATGAAAGTGAGACATCGCTGTGTCAAGATAATCAAAATAGTAATAAAATATGTATATATATATATATATATATATACATTATATATATAGTCATATGATATTGCATATACCTTTAAAAATTGTGCGAGACTTTTGTTTAATTCGTGTGTCTCCACTGGCATTTCTTTGTACTTGGTCATTAAGTATGGCATAATTACGTCCAATAACATTTTGATCTTCTCGTGATAATCTTTCGAGAATCGTTCATTTCTATGCATCTGAAAAAAAATTAATTACTTGCTTAAATAATTTTAATAAAATAAATTAATAATTTATTCTGATAAAAATATTTCAAAAGATGAATATGTAATTACAGATAATCATATTAATAAATCGTCGTTAGTTTTAAAATCTTAAAGTCTTCTCAAAGAACTTAAAGAACTCACTTTTATCCTACCAGTACTCAGTAGATATTGCGCCATACTTTTTATCATTATTTCAAAAAAGAAGCTTGAGTGATGCATGAATTTGTTTACTACCAAAAAGTCGGTATTACTCGGTTGCAGTAAAGTTGGTAAGTGCTTCGCCAATTGTTCATGAACCGTGACGTTACCATTTCGTAGAGGAAGCACAAATACGAACTGAAATCAAAGAACTAGGATAGAATCAGATCAATCAAAAAGTAAATTAAATTTTCAAAATTTTAAAGATATCAAGAGGTAATAGAATTGGAAATTGGATATTTATCACAAACATAGGTTCTAGGTTCTACCTTAATGTATGCTTGCAGAATTTCCTTACGTCCAGCTTCGTGCACCATGTTAATAAAATGTATTAAGACCCTAATCACATACAATCCAATCTCTTGACTAGTATTACATGTTAGTAACACAAAGAGTTGATTCAATATAGTTGGAAGAAATGTGATAACGGTAACTAGTTGTACTGCATGCGCTGCTTTCAGAATTTTACACGTTTCTGAATCCGAGGGCGTCGTTGAAGGTTTTGTGTCCAAAATACGTTCAGCATGAACGAATAGATTGTGCAGATGAAGGTCCCGTGTAAATACTGTCGAAATTAATTGAAAAGATACCGTGAAGATTGGTCGTTGAGAATCGATCCAAGTAATATCCGGTCCTGCGTTCTGCAAAAATATATAAAAATCAACTTCCTATCAAGTTTTCTAACTATAATACTAATTTATAAAATTAATTAATATCTTACTCTTACCCCTTTCCCTAGTCCAAGGGGTTGTATAGAAAGATATCCAGGAGGCAATTGCGTTGCTACAGGCAATACTTGGATATTCGATTCTACATCCACGTTCAATCTGTGGAAAATAAATACATTAAAAAACATTTTCTATAATTTGAATGTTATTATACTGTAAAATATGATAGTAATTAAATTCTCATCAATTATTCAATCATTAATTTATCACAAATCTCACCTTCCTTTGTGCAGTAAAAATGTCCATGCATAACCGACACAGTTTTCAACACCGTTCTCTTTCTTTTTGTTCATGTCACAACTTATGTGATAAAAGGAGAATAATAGATGATGTTTCGCGTGCAATTTCGTGGGTAACTTAATCTTGATTTCTTCATACCAAGAAGGCACTGCGTTGTGATGTAACACTGCGCATGATGCTCGTAGGCACAATAACGATGAACCAGATCTTCCATAAATCACCTATTAGGAGTAGTAGAAAAAAAAAAATAAAGTCTATTTAGACTCTTCAAGTTATCTTTTTTATCACTTACTCGTAAAGGTTTGGCGTTTTCGCTGTCGTCGTCACGAAGTTCCACAATACATGCTATATTCCTAGCTCGGGTAAACATCTTTTGACTGTCAAAGTTGAGTGTCTGCGGGTACACGTACAGATGATTGATATACGTTGTGTACGGGTGTACATCCCTCTCAGAAGTGCTCTCAAACTCTGCAATCTCGATTGTCGGCTCCACCGTTGGTGGCAATGGAAATGGCTTTAACGGCGCTAGGCAAGTCGACAATGTATCTAGAAATCGTATTTTATGTATCGTACACCTGGAATCGTTCGAAACTATTGACTATCATTTCTTTTTTCACACTAATGTAAGAATGATAATTAAAAATTCGCCCTACTTATTATAAAAATACAAATAAATTACGTAGAATTAAATTACAAAAAATATGTTCTTGCATACTAATATCGCGTCTTTAAATTGTTTTTTCAAAGTCGAGATTTTAATGTATCTCTCTCTAATTTTAAAATATTTGAGAACATTATTACAAATATTTGTTGTATCAATTTAAAAAAAATAAAATTTTTGTAATAATATATTACTCGATTACGCACTTTCAGGAATGTCCGTGATGGGCTCTATTTTAATTTTTAACCAGGCAGGTATCACAGTCAATTTGCTGAGCTTCTCAGGCCTGTGAGTAAAATTTTCTAATATAATGTTTAATAATATATGCATGTTAAACTCCATATTGCATAAATTTTTTAATTACACTAATTTTTTTTTTATTATTAATACATACTTTCTATATTCAGAAAGAAATTTTAGTAGCTCCTCATCTTTTATTCTATTACCCTCCTGCCTATATATCGCTGGAAAATCTGAGGATGTATCTAGTTCATTACTATACAATCTAAACAGTGGTCTTGCAGTCCACGCAAACGGCATTCTATAGTTTCCCAGTCTACAAAAAAGAATTGCAAATATCATGTATAAATAAGAAATGCAACCTTTATGTACAATTAAGCTTACATATAAGTTTAGTTGATATAGGTAATCGTCTTGATAATTAAGCATTTTCCTAAAACATTTGCACTCAATTACGCATTCTATGTAAAAAAGTATTTGCATTTATAATTTTACCTTTGGCAACATGCTCGGACTTGCTTGTGCACCTTTAAACCCAATCTTGGATCCTTGGTAGCTCTCAAATATGGTTCCGAGGTCTGATATATGTTTCCTTGAAGCAACTTATCTATCCTTACAACAAGAAATATATCTGGATGAGGATTACTTATATTGAATATGGCCTGCAACAACAATCACGTTCTTATATTTTTTTTCCTAAATTTTTATTCTATTAATAAATAACATAATAAATTAATATTAATAAGTTTTTATCTTGAACACATTTATATATACTTCAGAGATGGACATGCAAACGAAATCTGAAAAATAGGACAATTAAAATTTAAAATAATCTGACATGTTAAATGATCTTGAAATATCAAATTATTAAAATTAAAAATAATGTTCCGAAATATTAAATTATCGAAATTTAAAGCATTCGACAATATATAAATCCAAAAAGTAAATATAAGTTTTTTGGAAATAATTTTTTTTTAACCTCACGCAAAGAGAATATCGACATATCATATTTAGATATAAAAAGTCATACTATGAGAAGAGGAAAGAATAACATATAAGTTATGAAAAAATTTGTGTATCTTATTAAAAACATTCAAATTATAAATGTAAAATAAATCGAGAATCTCTCTTGCGTGTAACTTAAAATATTTTCAAAAAATTGTTTTTCGGGACATTGTCGCATGTCTTCAAATTCGGAAATTTAAAATTTCGGAATATATATTATCTTAGTTTTCAATTTTTGAGATCATGATGTTTTGGTGCATCGCATATCCACCACTTCAGAATCATTATCCCATTAATTTTTTTTTCATGTAAAATACAAATAATCATGCCTGTTTTGGATATTTTATCCAATCTGAAGGAATGTTTTTTAATTCCCCAGGAAGAGTAACATCTTCTGTTTCTGTTGTAATTCCTATGGGACTTAGTTCCCTTGCCATATCTCGTACTATTTCATGATTAACATCGAAGTGAAAATTCTCTGTGAGTTTCCTTCCATTTCTCGCGTCGAAAAGGCTCAACACTGTATGATAAGGTTCCACTTGACAAAGAGATTCCTTTTCGTCGATAGGTGCTTGCAGTCTAAATTTAAGACTTTCGCACTTGACCAGAATCCTGTGACCGAACTGCTCTTTGTAAGGATCCACATTATCGACAGATTGTCCTATGTGTGTTTTGGCATGTGGTATGTAAGGATATACGCTGAACAGTCTTTTTCTGTTCTCTCTCCTTGCTAAAGCAATGCTAGTGTCAGTCTCCCTAGAGTATTTTATTAATTGCGGGTTCATGCTCTGCTCAAGACCTTTCAGTGTCCCATAAACCTTTGAAGACATAAAGTTCATTTTAATATATGTATATGTCCAACATTAAATGTGTCTTTTATTTCATTACAAAACTATCTTCAAATAAATTTTTACTTAAAAAATTTGGGGGGACTAAGTATATTGGTTAATTATTAATAGAGGACGTTATTTTTACTTTGGGTAAATATTGCGAAGAATATTACTACGTCGACCCGCTATCAAAGGTTTATCGCAAATTCTCACAAGTGCTTTGATACGCGTATATCTCTTTATATAGAATCTCGATTTAATAACTTACCAAGGTGTATAAGGTAGGCTTCCACTACAATGCCTTACTGATGAGTCCAGTAGTGGAAGTCGGAACGAAACGCCAAAAATTACATGATATTCTTCGCAATACATTAAAATTATCAGAGAAAATTTAGATTTTTAATTGTAATTTGACTCTTACTTCGCCCTTTTTAATGTTATTGAAGATTGAAATAACTTTGCAATATGATTCTACCTGCATAGGTTGCGGCGACGGTGGAGGTGTATTACAGGTTCTCTCTAGCGATGCAGCACGCTTTTCCTCTTGCTGTTTATAGTGTTGTAAGACAGAACTGACCTTCAATATCCAATCTTGCATATCGGCTTCGTTATCGGCAGCTAAAGTGTAAGATTTGTGAGTATCACTCATCCGTAATTCAAAGCAATATCTCCCGCGCTTCGGATTTCTAACAATTTCCGTACAAAAGTCCATCACTATTGTTAGTTTCGCTTCGCCCTTTCTCTCATCTTTGAAAAATTCGAGTATATAAGTGCCATCAACTTCCTGTCTGAGATGACAAAAACGTCTCTTAAACGATTTCGAGCCAATATGAGCAAACATTCTGTCCGTACTACCAATCTCAGGACCTTTCATTAAGTAACCTTCCTTTGTTATACCATCGTTCTTTGTTAAATCCTATGAAAAAATTCATAAGCATCATATTTAGACCTAAATATGAACAAGTATAGTAATATAAGGGGTATTGAATGATTTTAGGCAAGTATTCATAGTAGATTCTTATATTAAATATAAGACTTAATAATTTTATATAAATTAATTATAAATTAATTAGAAAGTTGCATTAGTAATCTTAAGATATTACTTGAGACGGTTTTAAAATAAGAATGAACTATAAATACTGATTCTAAATTCTAAAGATTCAAATTTTTACTATTATAATTGTATATATAAATCTTGTAAAGTTAAAATAGCATTACCTCGTCTACTTGATCCACTTCGGTATCAATCTCATATACTTCGTCTTTCAGATCATCTGATTTCAATATTCTAGAAATTTATGAAACATATAACAGCGACAACAAATGGTTTTTATACACGCGCGATTCTATGTAATTAATTTCAAACATTTCACTTACTTTGGTAATTCGAGATAAGTCCCACTATATGCTGCATATTTGTAATGTACAAGATTCCAGTTGGATACATAACTAGATAAACACTCCTTCGTCAAAAGGTTCTCTGTTCCTTCCTCACATTCTGTAATATGTTGTGCCGTTGGTACCAAACTGCGATATCTCCTTGGCAAAACCACTTGCTAAAAAACACATATTTAACAATTATAATTGTTTTCTTAAAAAGTAGAATTATTAACAAAATATGTATATATATTTTTATTTTGTTTATATTTATATAGAATTAAATTAACTATATTCTAAACTATATTTTTAGATAGTAACTATTCTTTTAAATTTTATGAATATAGGATCTAAAACAAACAAAATTTTCTTAAAAGTTTGCCTGCAAATGCTTTATTTATGAGGCTTTTTAAGTTAGAAAATTATAGAAATAAAAATAATGTCAAAATAATTTATATTTATCTCTTTTATGGCTTTTTAACAATCAAAATGTTATAATATTATTAAATGTTCAAAATGATCTTCAGCCTTAAGACAGGCATTATAGCTATCAATGAAAAAATAAGTGATTGACTGACATGTATGTCAGTATGAATGAAAGGAATTGTGTTTACAGTATTAATAAAAGCCTATCAATAACCTTTGATCTTTAAAAGAAAACAAAGATATTTCAATCTTTTTCATTTCTACAGTTCTGTAAATTAAATCAATCTCTTGAATATAAAGCATTTGCGAGCAAACTTTCAGAGGAAAATTTCTATTGAGATCCTAAATTTATATTTTTAATTTGATTTAACATTATGTAAATAAGCAGTGCAAGAATAAAAACTTACAGAAATATCATCTTGGGGATACAGCAAAAGTTCTCGTTGAGGATCATTTTGCAACAGCGTCTTATTCTTTTGCATAAAATGCTCGAAGTCAATGGGTTCGACTAAGTGTGGTTTATTCTGTAAAAAATTTTAAAAGATACAGAATTTCACAAGCGTAGACAATTTTGGAACATTTCAAACTTTAATTTTGAAATCTTGACTTCGTATTGAACCACACACAATCGACTAAGCACAAAATTCTATAATATAGAACGATGGAAAAGATTAGAAAATCTGGATACTCGGGCTACCGAGATAATTGTTTACATCTCATTAGTATACTTCATTAGTATAAAGGACAGTCCCGAGTGTTAAATCTCGAATAACATCCCGAGGAGGGGCGCGCTCCAATCCGGACGATAAGCAGACGAAATAGACATATCACCTGTACTGTGCTCTCGCGGACGACCTGGGATACGGTTTCCCGCAGCTGCGCCGCCATACCGGGTTTTCCCAGTCCGCGCGTGAACTTTCTCTCGCTCATCCTCGCGAACGTCGAGCGACGCCGATTCACCCCCGAGTCAATAGCGCCGTCTGATGCCGCCGCACCGGCCACATTAAACCGCATCAATCACCGGCCTTGCCGGGGAATGATCGGGAACATATCATGCAACCGCCACAGTCACCTTATCAGTCACAATTGATCAAGATCGCGCGATCAATTCCCGTTCTCGTCCTGTCTCGTCGACCATCACATCACCAGCAATCACCAGTGACACCAATGACATCAATCGTATTCCATTCCAGATTCCACCGCTCTGTGTTCAAAACGAGTCGTTTTTATCCTCTTTTCTGTCTCTCCATCTACATCTATCGTAATTCCTTAAGCCCATTCTACAATGACAGTAGTGTAAAGGCCGCAGCACACACTTTTGCATAACGCATAAAGCATGTGCATAAGGATATTCATTGGCCCATTTTTCTTATGCATGAGTCAATGGACCAATCAAATTCTTTATGTATATGGTTTATGCGTTATGCAAAAGTGTGTGCTGCGGCCTTAAAGCCCTAAACACAATGCGAGGAATAGCGATAGCGATAAGTTTCAACCTATCAAAAATGCGTATTCCGGTGTATTCGATTTCTGATAAGTTGAAACTTATCGCTATCGCTATTCCCTCGCATTGTGTTTAGGGCTTAATGGACCTTCTACAATGAGCCATTATTTAAGTTTTAAGTTTAAATCATAAGAAATTTACCAATCACAATCGAATATGAAAAGAATAATCGACTGTGAGTGGTCAATTTCTTATGACTTATGCTGGATTCACCCTGCATCCGATTTTCGTCGTACGACGACACTGCAACCAATCAGAAAAATCGATACGAAACAAAATTTTGTTTCCTGATTGGTTGCAGAGTCGTCGTACGACGAAAATCGGATGCAGGGTGAATCCAGCACATGGCACATAGAAAAACGTAAGGCCGTAAGCGAATTGACCAATCACAGTTGAGAACGTAAGCGGCTGCCGAAATAAGTAGTCCACAGACAAGTAGTTTGCATGAAGAAACAGCGTGGAGTTCTTAAAATTAGATTTAGATGTCTAAGGGCCAATGTCACAAAGCTTCGATTAACTAATCGGCCTAGTAACTTTGCAGGCTTCCAACTGAAACTGATGTCGGAGTATTAATGTGAGCTCAGCTCCGACATCAACTTCAGTTGGAAGCCTGCAAAGTTACTAGGCCGATATATGTGTGGCGTGCACATGAGTGAGATTTTAGGTCTGTTCTTTATTGCTGAACTTTTGCACTAGTTCATCTTTTTTCCTTTTCCCTTCTCCTGGAGAGAAAAGGAAGAAAGATGAACTAGTGCAAAAGTTCAGCACTAAAGAACAGACCTATTGGTCACGTTCAGCAGACTCAACTGTTGCGGAGCGGATCCGTGAGCATTCGCTGCTATTGGTATATTCTTTTAGATCATCCAAAAGCAGCGAGCGCTCACGGATCCGCTCCGCAACAGTTGAGTCTACTGAATGACACGTAATCGTTTGTGATAAGTGTTATTTCCAATAGACTAATCGTCTTTAGGATCCCCTTAAAAGAGTTAACTTATAACTTACAGGTATATTATTATATTAACATATTATAATTATCATAATATTTTTATATAAGCTAATTATGATCACGTAATTTTGTTTGCATATAACAGCCGTATTTTAAATATATTTTATTGTATATACAATATACATGTTATACATGTATATGTATTCGAGTATTGATGTCATTAAAATTATCGACAATAATTAAAATTGGCAGTTGAATATAATTTCGGAATGTTTATATACTATAATAGGCGAGTTTTTCAATTCATCGATTGATCAATCGCATTATGCGCAAATGTAGCTTTTACAGAACAAAATCACATCTACGCACAATGCGATTGATCAATCGATGAATTTAAAAACTCACCCAATTATAAAAATTTGCAAAGTTTTACGCGAAATTAAAAGATCACAAGGAACGATGATTAATCGATATATCTCATTCGGTTTATTAACTTCGCCGTCATAATGAATGCTGAATGCAGATGCAGTATAGATTCTTCGGTCTTCTAGAGTCAGCGTTGCCGTATGGTCGAGAATCGATTCCCATTCAAAACTTCCTTGCGGGCATTTGGCGCGTTTGCATCCCTTGCAAATTGTTATCCTAGCATCTATACCACTGAAGGAAATTCGAGAAATGGCCCAACCTGGAATTAGAAGGTATGAGAATAGGACTTGCATAATCTCACGACCATTATTTTGTCTGCTTACCTCCATTCTCCGCTTTTCCTCTCACGCGGCTCAATTACCGACATAACGCATGACGGTATCGCGTTGCAGTAAATTTTGTTAAAACGGGTTACGTAAACAAATGGATGATGCTTACGGCAAACATCCCTTCTCGCTACTCGGCGGATGCAAATGCGCGGTTATAAGAGTATATAACGTAGCAAGCTTTTGCAATTACTGCGATCCAAAACTGCATATGTTACTATATCTCTTTAAAGAGCGTTTGGAATTTTTGGTATTTAAGGTTTTCGCAGTAAGATGTTAACATTAAAAATATTTAACGTGCGAATTATGCAATATTATTTTAATTGAAAGTTATGTAATTCAATGTTCGACTCATTCAGAATTCCTAGTACTTAATTTATACATTTACAATATTACTAGTTGAATAATATAAATGATCATAAACTTTATTTTATCAGATTTTTATCATAATAAGTACAGTAAGTATTTTTAAATTTTATTATTTAATCTTGTCTGTAAACATATCAAGCTTAGGCCAACGTTCAAATTATTTTAAATAATTGAGCTTTTAATCTTGAATTTAAAATGATTGCTCTTAATAATTATTGTTTCAAACTTCTGAATTTTTCATATACTAGACAGATTTGTCTAATTTAGAAAACAGAGACACACAAACTAACTTAATCGTTTTTCTCTCCTCACAATTCATCAGCAATCTTTCCTGTCAGTCGAGAGAATGTAGAGTGATACAACAAGGTTTGTTTGCCAAAACACGTTTGGCTATCATGACGAAACCTCGTGAATGAAGATTGAGGAACGAACAGGCAAACTTTCGTAGAAAATACTTCCAGAGATTAGTCAAAGATTTTCATATCCAGGGCGATTTACCCTTCATTCTCCATACATATACATGTACAGGGTGTTTGAGAAGTAATGAAAAGTTTTGTCGCATAGGGGCAGAATGGACTAAGCTGAGAAAAAAAGTCCTCTACCATTTTATAATTTTTGCAATAGTTAGAAATATTAATTTATAAAAATATCCAAATTCGTCCGGCCCATCGCCAAATGCAAGGATGGATATGACCGCCCAATGAGGTGCGTCGCGCGCGTTCGTCGTCGCTATAGGCATGCGTTGTTTATAACATTACTATACCGGGCGAATTTGGATATTTTTATAAATTAATATTTCGTTAATTATTGCGAAAATTGTAAAATGATACAGGACTTTTCTTCTTAGTTTAGTCTATTCTACCCCTACGAGAAAAACTTTTTATTACTTCTCAAACACCTTGTATACGCATAATATACAGTTTATTTCTTTTATTTTAATCGGTTCCTTATCAAATTTCCTATCCGCCAAAGATTTCAATTGTTTAGTAGTCTCTCCTAATAAAAATTTATTTAAGTTATACCGCAATCAAACTCGATCGACTAAAGCTCGTGTCACACGACGGATTGTGGACGCGGATCGAATTGAGATTACGGATCGCGCATCGGAATTCAGCCAATTATGATAAAGCTGTTTTGTTTTGATTGGCTGAAAACCGATGCGCGATTCGTAATCTCAATCCGATCTGTGTCCACAATCTGTAGTGTGACACGGGCATAAGGCCCAGTTGCATCATTATTCAATTTTAACTTAAAACTCTATTTCTCGTATTAAAGCCGAAAGAGACTGCAGTTTAAGTCTCGCTTAAAATCGAAATCACGTTGGTGCAATCGGGTCTTATTCACCTAGTTTAGATCTAACTTAGTAAAGGAGAGAAATGAATTAAAACCGCAAAGAAAAAACCATGACACGCCGAACGTATATTTTCTTTAATGATTCACGTGTCAAATCCGTTGTGTTTATTATTTATAATAAACAATGCGAAATGCGAAGGACACAAAAGAGGTCTAGTCGTCACTCGACTTTTTGCACTTAAATCGTAATTGGTGAAAATTACTTCTATGAAGTTAACAAGTTGAATGAGCTTTTTTGTTTTTCGAGTTAAATCGAGATAACATGAGTTAGTTTGATTTCCGGAAAGTTTTTCGCTCAGAGCAGTCGTCATGGCGGATGCAAGAAAATAATGTGGAAACCGTCTCTGTGGTAGTCAAAGCAGAAAAATATAAAGAAACACGAGAATATACCCGAGAAAATACCCGAAGACTATCTTCCGATGTGTAAAGCTTACTCCTCATTTAAATATAGATTCCTTTGAGTTTCATACCATAAGCTTTTTCAATCAAATAAATTTACAGTATCACGCATCCACATTTTTAATCCATTTAATACACTGATAATTTTTAATTATTGCCAAATGATTATTGTACAATTATAGCAATTTGACAATTATAGCTAATCACTATTACATTAGTTAATATCAAGATTACTTTTTTCTTTAAATACATTTTGATTCCTTAAAATATTTTGGACAATTTATTCGAGTCTGCAACTTCGTTTACCGAGAATTTTACCCTTATAGGAAATCACTTTTATGAGAAAAAGGTCTGGCAATTTGCAAAGGACATAGAAACTTAAACAAATTAAGCGATTGTATATGAAATAGCAGCGCCCTCACTTTGTCACAAAATATCCTGAAAGAAATATACAACCTCGCCGCTTTAGAGTAGGTCCTTTATTGGCCCAATATTCGTGGCTACCGGCACTGAATTCATCGGATATGGCTTTTGTTCTTTTTATTCCCAATAACTCGAATCGGGCGCAACATGGTTCGCGTAATAGGAAACATGTAGTGCACTTACA